AACCAAAAGCTTGTGAACCTTCCTCCAACAATCCCGCCTCCTTGATAATCAACCAATCACATTCACTTTATTCACTCGTGTAAAGTCGGGCACCACTCGGGAGAATTCAGAAATGTGACGGTTGGAACAGCCGCTTCTACGACTTTAAATGTGAGTTAACTGTTTCTGAGCCCTTGTACAGACAGATTATCAGTCCTCCAGTTTATTCCTAATTTCCAGGCTTCAGTTTCAGTGTTGAGTCCTCAAGTTAATTCAACACCAGAAATTTGTAGATTCCTGAAATCACTCCTTTACTTGAGCTATCTTTGCAAGGATTTCTGTGGTTTGGATAAATCTTTGTTTTCCTAATAAAGCTTCTGAGCTGAAGGTATTTAAAGAAGTATTTTATATTTATAATAAATTTCTGCTTGAATTCTTTAAAATACATTATATAAGCTGAATTTGCTTGCCATAAATCACGATTTATTTCTATTCCTTTTGTGGCCCATTGTTTAAATACAATCTGCTCTTCCAGGAGTAAAATCCTGTTTTCCCATATTGGAGTAAACTCTAATAGTATAACTGATCCTTTTGTGAATTTCTTTACATCTTACCTTATTAAGATCACGTTTTTAACAATAGGGTTAAAAATAAAAATCCTTTTAGTTGACCTGGTTGTGCTTCAGCTCTGACATCCATGAACGGAAATGTTTAGCAGAGAGTTGGCTGAATGATGCTGTGGGCAGGGGCGTAACTTTCTGAAGGAGTGGAGGGGACAGCCCCCACCAATATTTTCCACTGATTTCCTTCAGCCAACAGTAACTGGGGTTGGATGCAGCTGTCTGTGTTCAGAGCGTTTTCACTCCGTGTTTTTTCCTCGCTCTCCCGCTGCTCTAGAGTCCCATATTATTTGGTAATTTTAGTAATATTATTTGGGGTCACTATTCACTGCGTACAGAGTCGCTACGTGGAGGAGAAACACAGCAGCACTCAGTGAATTTTAACCGGCAGCTACTTCCATATATGTTTAGGTGAAATTTAGGAGACGGTTGGTTAAAAAAAATTAGAGATGCCACCGAAAAATCAGTTCGTTACAAATACGGAGCTTTTTCAGCTAAAAATGACAACAGATTGTACATTTATGAGTTTAAAAGCTGGGCTTCTCTGGACCATTAGTCTGAGTTCCAGATTAAAATGAACACAGATCTGTTGTTTTCAGATTGAACAGAGAATCAGGCTGCAGAGCTTCTAGAGATGCTGAAAATAATTTTCTCTGGCATCATTATATTGGTAGACTGGTTCATCAGTCTGATTTAAAAAAGAACAGACACACAATTAGGGACATTTGCAGATTTAAAGGTGAAGCAAACATGCAATAAAATATATCCCCATGTTTAAAGAAAAAATGCTATAATAAAATTCAACATATCTTTTTGTCTTTTTTTAATAGCTGTGCAGCAACCCAGAGTCAGCCAGACTCACAGGACACAGAAGTAAAACTAAAATATAAGAAACCTGCAAGAATTAAAGCACAAATAATACAAACTGGTGTGTAAATGACTTTTAAAATATAAGGTTTAATATATAGACTTTGGCTCTCAATGATAAATGGGACAAATTTCTACATTTGATTTGCTGCTTGTGAAGGAGGGAAGTCAAGGATGGACGGATGGATGGACGGATGGATGGATGGAATGATGGATGGAATGATGGATGGAAGGAAGGAAGTGAAGTTGTGTCCATTCTAGGGATGCAGGATCTATTTGTTAGCATCAGATATCTGCTGTTATTCGTCATTTTTTATAAATTGTTTTTTAGCCCTTTATAAATAAAGCACTAAAGGCAGTAGGGTTTTCCCGATACTAACATTTTCAACTCCATACCGATACTTGGGAAAATATTCGATTTTCGATACCACAAGGATAAAAACAAAGAAACATTTTTACTAATAAATAAAATACAAAAAATAAATACAATAAACAATGAGAACAATATTTAGAGGTTTTATGCTGTGCACAATATCAAGCAAGCTTGATTAAAAAAAATTAACTAAAGTGTTCTTCCCTTGTCTCTGCTTTACACACATAACAATGACACTAACCAGTGAGCAAACTAAAATAATTGCTGTATTCTAAGCAGCTGCATCTATTCCAAAAAAATCTGAAACTGAAAAGTGCACAAAATTATTCAATCACACAGTGTTCAGAAAGTGCATTTCCCTCTATTCTGCACTCTAGATGATTGACTGTTTAGGTGCCACTGGTGGAAGCACTGGCCTGAATTTGCTTTTATTTTCATAGCTGTTTATTCTGTTTATTTTCATAGCTTCTGGGGACTTGGCATCATTTTTCCATTGTTGGTCAAACATAGTCGGCTGTGTTTGATGGTGTTTGGACTAGGGATGATAATCGGCCCCCTATCGGTATCGGCCTTAAAACTGAATATCGGACATCGGCCCCCCCAC